TTGCCTCAGTAATAATGTATCCGGGAAAAAAAGGGCTGCTTTCCATCCCATGTAAGGTTATCAAAAAATACGAATTTTCTTCAGTAGTGGAAGTCGTTTAGCGAATTTTCTACATAATCAAATATGTTTGATAACGTCCGAAGAATGCTGTCTTACGTTTGTGATTCGGAGATATCGACACCATAGTCACGTGAAACTCTTTCGAGCGTAAAACTGTCCACATCAACTGCAAACACAAAAGTTATCAAGTGGTTCTATATATTTCACTCGATAAAAGAAGGAAAAAAATATCCCTCCACCGGGAAATGCCGAAGACACCAATCCTGAGAATGAATGTATAAGTGGACCACATCTCAAATGCAGAATTTTGGATGCCCGGAAATGAAGTCTATAGGATTTGGAAAAGATCGTTTTTTCTTTGCTAAAGAGACTGTCCCTGCTTGACGACATTTTTAAGAATTTTGATTTGACTAGAAACCCAGAAGGCGTAGTTGGTATATCAGTCGAGAAGACATTGAAATAAGGTGAAATTTATCCTCCTGGCACTTTCTAACAGAGCAAGTTGATGAAAAGCTAGATTTTAGCTAGATTTTTTAGCTAGATTTTCAAAGTTTCGATACAGCAACTTTCACGCCGCACACAATACTTTTTGCAATTTGCTGGTATCATTCTTTAAAGCTGATGGACTTAATGAAGTAGTATGTTGAAGGCTGAAAGGTCGAACTTGTCAGTGAGATAATTAATCTCTCTACGATTCCTTCATTCCTTTCGGGAGTCAAATCTTCCATCAGATTGCTTGTAAAAAACCTTCGATAAAGAGAACCATCGGCAGCCTTGATTGGCGGGTGGTTGTTGTTGCCAATCAGTCAATATCAGAGATGCCTCCGTCTTATAAAGAGTAAATTACGGAGATAAGGAACGGGAAGACAGAGAGGAGGAGAAAATGGGTAAAGCAAAAAAGAAAAGTTGGTTTTTGGATGGAATATCACTACAAGTTCCGTCGAAAATGGTTAGACAATGTAAATGCCACGCAGTTAGATGGCTTTTGTAAAACATGAAAGAATTATGTTTGAGCTTGGCCACATTTTTGACAACCAAAAATAGCACACCCAAAGCTGAGGCTGATTTTGATCCTAAAATATCAGTGTAGAGTAAAATCAGAAGCAAGACAAAGAGTAAAGAATTGATAAACCTGGACGTGGTTTCGGCGATGGGAAGGGGACGGCTTCTTCTTCCGGTCCTGGAGTAATGCGTAGATTGTAACCAGTTATCTCCTGCAACTTGAGCAAATAATTTTATTAGTTTTGATCCAATCCAAGAAACAAAATTTAGTAAGTGATAGAAAAGCAGATACGATTTTAAGAAAAAAAGTGTCAGAATTTCAGCAGTTTTCGTCAAGTGTCAAGACCCTCTTTGCATTAGCTC